TTTTTCCTTCTTCCCTTTTCTTCTTGTCAACAATCGACAGGGTCTGACTTAGTAACTTAGTCTTCAAACGGCCCAAGACGGGGGTGATAGGCGGGCGCAGGGAGGGCGAGAGGAAGGGAGGGAGGGCGAGGACAAGGGAAGCTAGGGAGGATAGCAAGCAAACCCCTTCAGAATATCACATCTACAGTAACTGCGCTTGTTTTATTTGTCAAGGGGTTACTGTATCCGTACCTCAAGTTGATGTTAACCAACGGCCTGATGGTCCACGAGTAAGCAGGCACATTCGGTACCTTAGGTAGGTAGATAGAATAGCTTTAGAATGACAACGGTTACTGCCTTGCCGCAGTCGATTGTTTAGTACAGATAATGCAACAATCGCTAATCACTAATCTAACTGCTTGGGTAGTAGACCACGTACCTAGGTAAGTAAAGAAAGAAATAGAACCGACCGTCCCACTGCATCAGCCAGCCATGATCCATCCACACACTCACTAACGTACTTGTTCTGTGCTATCCGTACTTGCGCTGCACTTCTGCAATGTATGCGACAAGTCAAATCAAATCAATGATACATGGAATGGATGCAATACAATGGAATTCTTTTCAATTTCAATCAACTGCTCAAGTCTAGACTCCTGGCTCCTAGTGTCTCTTCCCTTACCTCTCACTCCTCCCCCTTGATTCCCTTACTACTGTATCTTTTACAGCAGGAATCCCAGCATTCAATATTAATTTAACAGTGCCTACTTATTACTCTGTTGCCAAACTAAAAATTTCCATCATGGAAGACAATCAGCGGCCTGTCCGTTGCCCCGCTCTTCTCTCCATTTCTTCCTTTTCCTTCCATAGCAAAGGATGGAAGTCAAGTCATGGATCCAATGTTACCTACCTAGGTATGTTGTTGGTTGTCAGACAACTCGCCCGAATGCACAAGAGCCTTCACAACCTTGGTAGTGTACATTAACTGGAATTCATATTTGAATTGTCTAGGCACCCTTGACATCCAACTACTAGATTAGGTAGTCTAAGGTATATCATATCCCCTTGTGTTACTGTCACCTCTGCTGTTAGTTGACTGGTACATTTACCTGGTAGATGGAGGTAGGTATCGCCGTACAGCACACCTCCCGCCTGCCCGTAGACGCCTCTCCCGCTTCTGTGCTCTGACCCGTATCATGTATCCCCAGTTCTGCCCATCCCATTGTTTAGGTACCTAGGTATCTGGTCAAAATCAAAACATACCTCACAAAACAAGGGACAGGTTTCGTACTATCAACAACTTCTCTACTTCTATATCTATCTAACTTTAGTATCTACCTACCTACCTAGGTAGGGCCGTTTACTGTTGACCACTAACTTGCCCATGTAAATCTCACCGCGGTATCTGCCGCGTACCCGCCGGGAGTCGTCGGGTAACGTTAGCACACGATCAAGAGTTTGGACCCTCTCGTCTTTGGTCTTTGGTCCTTACCGTCCTTGTTACTTGGTCTCTCTCTAGTTCCTCTACGACAGACAGTAGGCTCACCTCTGATCCTCTTACTGTCCCACCGAGTTCCCCTCCCTGTACCCTCTTCTCTTTGGCTTGCATTGAATTTCTCCGCTTCTAGGACCCCTCCTCCACCGAGCAAACATCCGTCCCGCAGCATGGGTTTGAATGTGTCAATGGATTGTGCGTCTTGACCTCACAAGGACATCTAACAAATGATGGCCATTGTCGGCTGTAACTCCTGACCTCGAGCTTACCATTGGGTGCGCTCCCAAGACATCTACCATAAACTGAGCATTTCAAGCTTCGTCTGTCCAGGAAACTCAAACCCTCACAGGGCCAGGCTTGAGCACCTCACCACATCTAACATGGCATGTCACAATACCATCGTGCTTCAATTGCAATGCCATCAGTGGCTGTAATGACACTGTGGTTCGCTTTTAGTTTGGCTATTGCGATACTTTCATTTACATAGGCAAAAAGCAACAGTATATAGAACTCTTAACAACCACCCCCACTCTGGGTTTTTGCCGGAACTCTTCTTGTGTCATACATCTTCTGACCAGCACCCTCCAATCCTTCAAAGGCGCTCGGCGTCTCTCCTTTCACTTGCTAGCTCACCCGCTTCATGTCCCACATCACTTTCCTCTCCGCCAGCGCCAGCTGCCCCTCTCTGTATGCCAGCCAACAGCTGTCAAGAAACAAGATCCCAACCCAAATGTAGAAACATAACAAAGCATCAACGTGAATCAAAACAAAACCGTGTGGTGCCGTGAGGCTATCCGTCTTTCCTGGAAACACATATTTACCGACCGATTAAAAAGAACACAGCGACTGTTGCAGTCGTTGCTTTTCCTGACAAACTCATCCACCTTGTAAAACGAGTAAACTGGCAAAAGGCAATGCACTCAAGTCAAATTCCAAATAAGAAAACTTCCAACGGAACATGTAAACCGAACGGAGGGGTTGTTTGTTGCCAAACTCGCGTCTTTCTCTAGATCTTGACACTTTGTACTGTATTGTTATCGCGCTCCCCCTCCGCATTTTGTTTTTTTCTCCTCCTTTCCCTGACCACGCTCCTGTTTTATCCCGATCAACGAAAATGTAGGCGCGGAATCGAATCGGATAGGGTATTAAAAGCAAAGCAATCGTTATCAGCTTGTCGGCAGCCTTCCTGAGGAAACCGACATGCTCATCGGCAAGCGTTGTCGTGTGTCGTTTCGATCCTCCCCGTTGACCTGTCCGGCAGCGTCAACTCTTGTTACATCAGGCTATCGTTAACGGCTGACGTCTCTTCGACCACCTGGCTGACCTGGTGCAGGTCGATTAAGCCTGTCGATCATGGTTTTGTCGATGTCATTCTTCTCTACCAAGTTGCTCAGGCTCATGATCGATGCGTTTGCTCCTTGGGATTGCTGTCCCTGTCTGGCAGGGGTGGACGCACCACTTGACCCATTCTGGCCTGTCGGAGACCGACCACCGGGAGCAGAAGTAGCATAGCTACCACTAGGCGTGGCTTGAGGCAAGGTACCACTCGTCGGGTTCCGCGGGCTGTGTCTCGCGCCCTGGTACGGTGGATATCCAACTCCGCCCGGACTACTGTGGTTAGAAAACTCGGCTGGCGACCTTCGTCGTGGGTCTTCGTCTACGGCGCTTCGTGGAGGAGGTAGTCTATAAGCGTCATCCTGTTCCTCTGAAGTCCTGCGTCGTCGTCGTCCTGCAAGCTGGCTACCATCATCTGTTCTCGCGTCTCCGTAAGACGAGAAGGATTCCGTCGGTGACTGAACAGGCGCGTAGTAGCTCCCTGGAGGCGGTGGGGCAGTAGCATGCTGATAAGCAGCATGTGGTGGAGGTGGAGGTGGAGGGTTGCCTGGTGCCAAAGGTTGACCATAGGCGCCGAATAACTGTGTGCCCGGAGGAACGCCTCCTGGAACTGCCGATACAGGTATAAAAGCTGTCGAGCTTGATGAGGAGACAGGCTGGAAGATGCATTCCTGGTTCATTCTAGCACAATTCTGGCACTTTCCACCAGGAGCAGTTTGGTAGCCGCTGCAGCGAATCTGTAGGTAGTTAGCACTTTGAGCAACAACAGTTCGCTTACCCAAGCGCAACACTAATCACAAACCTTTCTTTTCCTGCAATATCGGCAAGCAATTGATGTTCTTTGACGAGGGGCTGCCTGCGTGAGAGGAGGCCCATTACCAGGCCCAACGGGAGGGTACTCATAAACGCCGCCAGGATGATGGCGGTAGCCATTTGGCGGCGGTCCTGGAGGTGGCTGGCCGCGGTAGTAAGCATAGTAGGGGTCCTGCGGATATGGCTCCTGCCCATACGGAGGTCGGCGGTCATCATAATAACCTCGTTGATCTGGTGGGGGAGGAGGGTAGGCTGAGGATCGGGGGTCGGACTGAGGTTGAAGAGGTGGGAGATACTGCTGAGGTTGGCCTGGTGGAGGCTGCTGGCCAGGAGGCGGGTAACCGTTGACAGCATTGGGAGATGCATATCGCGGGTCCGCAGGATAGCCACGACCCGGAGCTGCAGGCGGCGGCCCATAACCGCGAGAGTCATGGATGGACGGTAGAGTGACTGAAGTAGCCATGGTGCCTGGAGGAACGTCGGATGGACGCTGTGCGGTATCTGGTGGTGGAGGATAGTGCGACTGATTTCGGGGGTGACTGTCGTCGGGGCGGCTCTGCTGAGGATACTCTTTTCGGTAACTGTCGTCGGCCATGCTATGTTGAGGCGCAAAGAGCCGCAGGCGGGCAAGTACGGTCAGCGGCGATGATGCCAGATACGTGCAGATGAAAGTGTTCAAGTGTGCTTCTGCGAACGAGCATTTGGCGGGGAATGACCCAAGACCAAGACCAGGACGATGCGAAAAAGAAATGGCCAAGTAATTAGTCCGAGTCGTCGAGATTCTGCCCTATCCAGTCGCGCTGTTCTGTCCTGATTGTAAATGACCGGCGATGACCGATTGCTGCAAGTCAAGAATGAGTGAGTGAATGAATGTCTCAACGGGAGATGACAGTAGATTCCACAAGGCCTTGGGACCGCAATCCAATGCGTGACGGACGTTATGTTTCCCGGGAGGCGGAGGAGGATAAAAATGGTCTCTGACGTGGGCGGGAAGAGTGCGGCGGGACAGGCCGACAGTTATAGCGAGGGAGGGAATGGATGGGAGGAAACTCCGATCCAATCTGATCCACTGCGTGGGAAGAGCCAGGAACCACCCAACCGTAAATGGAGCCTGGGGTTTTGGGGATTGTGGATTTGCTTGGAAGACTTGGGACTGGGATTTGAGACTTGGGACCAGGACTGGGGGTGAGAAAAGGAAAGGAAAAAAAAAGTAAAAGAGGGGGCACTTCTGGGCCCTTGTTTTCTTCTGCTCTTTCACTGTACTCGTCTTGGGGGTGCGGAAATAGTCAGGTGGGAGACAAAATACTCTCCCCTCCCACTGTCTTGCTCGTTGTGTCTGCAAGAGGAGATATCTCAAGCGTGCTTCTTGCGCGAAAGAGAAAACTGGCGGTAATACGTCTGCGTTTCTCTTCTTTTGCTTCGTTGTTGGCTTTCTTCTGTTTTTCTTTTTTCCTTGTTTCTTTTCCCACCTCAGAAACCGCTCCGTGCGACAAGACCTTTTTTTGGTAAAGTTGCTGCCGTTCTGATCAACTGAAACAGGGCGAAAGACTCGAGTAGTAAGACACCAAGCAATGCTATGCCGTTCGTATCGCAGTCGTCGATGAGGGGGAAGAAGAGGTTGAGAGTGGAGAGTTGAGTAAATGTTTGAGGGATGTGGTGGTGAAGGCAAGTTAAGTTAGAAAGGCGCAGGCATGTTAAGTTACTGTAGCCCGTGTAGGTAGGCGTATCTAGGTGTAGGTGTAGGCGTAGGTACCTGGATCCAGTACCGCCTCTACCTCTAGCTGCTAAACACCATGCCAAACTGCCTACAGCAGGTGCATGCTGTTGCGGCGACAAGGAAGTGGGGAAGAGTAAAGGTGGGAAGGTGTGCAGTCGAAGCTTTTTGGGGGTGATTCTATTGTGGGACCAGTTGTGTGCGAGGGCAAGTGCAAGTGCAGGTGCAGGTGCAGGTGC